TGGACACGTGTGTTCATAACTGGGGTCTCGTACATACAAGGCCAAGCACTGCCAGCAGCACCCTGGGTTCATTGTGTGTTTAATTTGAATTAGTTTTGATGTGTGTTCAGAAAGTTTTTACTGTTGGAAACGTTTTTCATGGCCCCCACATTCACTTTTCAGAGCCCGTGTAGTGTCGCTACTGCCCGTGGCTTAAAAGCTGCAAGATGAGGGCCAGGGGGATAGCTCAGTGGCAAGCACACGGACCTGAGTTTGATCCCCAGAACCCACATGAAGAAAAAGCCAGATGTGGTGGCACACACTTGTAATCCAGCTCTGGGGAGGCAAAGACAGACAGATCCCTAGGGCTCACTGGACAGCCAGCCTAGCCCACTTTATGAGTTCTCCAGACCAGTAAGAGACTTGTCCCAAAAAACAAGGTGGATGGTGCCTGAGGAATGCCCAGTATTGTTCCTCTGGCCTCTAGCATATGTGTGTACACACACACACACACACAAGAAACTGGGATAAATGGGCTGGGCTAGGGGGCTGAAGAGATGGCTCACCCCTTAAGAGCACTTACTGCTCTTCCATAGGACCCGGGTTCGATTCCCAGCACCCACATGGCAGCTCACAACTGTCTGTAACTCCAGTTCTAGGGGATCTGACACCGTCACACAGACACACACGTAAGCAAAACGCCAGTGCACATAAAATAAACCATTAAAAAAAAATGAGGGCAGGTTAAGAAAGTGAATAACAATGACGTTTACCACTGTCAAGTCTGTTGAAATTGACTATATTTCATTTTAGAAGCTTCTAGTACATCCTGTGGAAGCTTTGCCTGTGATAGCTGTGAGCTGTCCAGAGATACTGGATGCACTGACCTGTCACTAACCATTGGCTTTCCATATTGGTGTCCTTTAAAGAACCATCTGGAGATTGGAAGTTCAGTGGTGAAGTTACTGAGCGTGTGTGAGGCCCTAGCGATAGTACATACTATGGTGTTTTAAGTGTGAAAGGCCACAGTACAGATTGTGATAACACACGTAGCCATGCTGTTCTGACATACATGTAATTGTGTGCGTAGGCAAGGTCTTAGAGGGTACATATCAGGTGGGTCCCAGTGTCCCTCTGGGGAGAAGCCAGTGAATTAGACATGCTTTTGACTATGACTTTAGGAATTTTGTGGGATTTTTGCAAAAAAGTGTGTGAGTATTTGACCTGAGGTGGGATTAACTGCTCACTACACACTTGGATAGTAAGGTAAGACTGTCCAGCATCCGTGCCACACATTTTAAGGTTGGAGAGGTGCCC